TCTCTCTCTCTCTCTCTCTCTCTCTCTCTCTCTCTCTCTCTCTCTCTTCTCTCTCTCTCTCTCTCTCTCTCTCAATATATATCTTTGTTTGACACTTCCAAATGTCATTCTTTATAATTTTGCCAAGTAACTTCCATTGTACTGTACTAGCTGTCAAATTAGCGTTTTTATTTCCATAAAAAATCAATCCACACAATTAATATCAAATCGAAGAATATTATCTTGTATTTTTGGATCGTTGAGCAACAGAGCCAAATCATTTGCACTTCTTTTTGGTCTAAATTCGATTTAAATCGGGTCAAAGTTTCAGTATACATTCATAAAAAGAAAATATAAAGGTAGACTAAATTGTGTGTATGTGTCAATCTATATGTTCTATTGAAGTGAGACGGCAACAAAATTTACCCAAATAAGCTATTACATTTCCCTTGGTGAGTTAAACAATTCATATTTAGATTGAAAAGCATTGAATAGAACTGAGTCATTTGTTTGTATTTTTTTCGTTGTTTGTTTGACAGTAGTCCTTACTACGAATATATTAGACGAAATTAGTTGTAAAAACAAAGCACGAATGTCTCAAACATTGCCGCTTACTCAACAAATTTAGACAAGGGGTACTTTTAATTTTTTTTAGCAAATACAGCTACACGGAAGATAAAAAATTCAAAACATAAACATTTCTTAAAATACGAAACAATGTATGCCATAATCAATCGCATCTTGGACTGGTTCAAAAGTCTATTCTGGAAAGAAGAAATGGAATTGACTTTGGTGGGACTGCAATATTCTGGGAAAACAACCTTTGTTAATGTGATTGCTGTAAGTTTTATGCTCGGAATGTCATCATGAAGAACAATGTCTAACACGTAATTCTTACTTTTACTTCAAATATTAGTCTGGTCAATTTAGCGAAGATATGATTCCAACAGTTGGCTTCAATATGCGCAAAATAACCAAAGGCAATGTAACAATAAAAGGTTAGTTAAAGGAAGCCAAGAAATCAATAAATTTATCAAAGATTTCACAGTTGAAATAAAACTAATCAGTGAAAATGCAAACAAAAATGAATCAAACAATCATATTCAAAAACGTTATCGAAATACTACTTGACACATTTTTTTCAGTGTGGGATATTGGTGGTCAACCCAGGTTCAGATCGATGTGGGAGCGCTATTGTCGTGGTGTCAATGCAATAGTGTAAGTTTTATTTTATTTCATTTTATTTTATTCTTTTAATGAAGATAATATATATTTCATCAGGTATATGGTAGATGCGGCTGATTTAGATAAAATGGAAGCATCGCGTAACGAACTACATTCATTGTTAGATAAGCCACAATTGGCAGGCATTCCAGTCTTAGTTCTAGGGAATAAGCGTGATTTACCGGGTGCATTGGACGAAACTGGACTAATCGAACGAATGTAATAATCATGGTGATATATCATTACGATAAGGACTAATTTGTAACTATTTTCATTCTTGTTTACAGGAACTTGTCGAGTGTACAGGATAGAGAAATCTGTTGCTATAGTATTTCTTGTAAGGAAAAGGCAAATATTGACATTACTCTTCAATGGTTGATTGCACACTCAAAGAGTCAAACGCGTTAAATTTCTTACGCAAATGAAATATTTGCTGAAAATGTTATTTTTCTTTTACTTTTCTGTTAAAAAAATAACAATCATCTGTTTGTTTATGTCATCTTGTCTGAATAGCTGACTTTCGCGGAAAATATCGAGTCAAAACATCTTGACGGAATATGTGAACATGTGTATTGGCTCGTAATTTTATAAAATTACTTAATTTGTTAACTTGCTATTAAACCACTAGTTTAAATATTGATTTCATACGAAAGCATGACTTGTAAAATCAATCTCTCCCCTAATGATACTGAATGATCAATATAAGAAACGCTATTACCAAAACACTCTCATTTCAGAAACGTGTTTCCATATTATATTATGGTGATTTTTTTTTCTGAGTGAAAAAACATAGCATTGAAACGGATGATTTTTTTCCAGGTGGTCCGAAATCTAGATCATAAAAAAATTCAATGAATGTTTGTTGTTTGATTTCCATTAAAATTGCAAAGAACATTGCATCATACTTAGCTAATTCTATGATATATGGAGTTTTTTTTCTGCAAAAAGAAACATCAGACTGAGAGTTTTAAGCCATGTGAACATTATGGAAAGCTAAATGTTGCAATTCTTCCGTTTAATTCAATGTCGCAAATAAAAATAAAAAGTGATTATACAGTGGTGACGAACACATACTACGCATTTTCATAATAAACATAAGTATAATCAAAAGAACGTTGTTTTATTATATTCTATCAGTTTTTGAATTTACTCAGTACGTTGAATGGATTTCGCATCGGGCAAGACATATCCAGATGGCGCTTTTAAATCGTTTGAATTTAAAACAACGACAATTGGACAATTCCTACGCTGTATTGATGCGTCTATTCATGTTTGAGCGTTTGACATTACTAAGTTGTTCAGAAAACGTATTTGACAAAAAACGAACTATTTTATAAATATTTAAACGAAATTGAAGCAAAAGTGTGTAAAAGTGTTCGATTTGGTTAAAATGAATATTTCTTTCACATTATAAAATTGGTTAAATTCGATAGACTCTGAAAATAGTACTTCCTATATTGCTGAAAAAAGTGCGCCAAATATCTTTTTACTTTTTATCTTTTTTGCTTTGAACATTCTCTGACACAACTTTAAATTTGCATAGCGAGAAGTTCCAAAAGATGAGCTCTCCGCCAAAAAAGATGCGAAAAAGCGGTGGCAGTGGTGGTGCAACCACAATGGCAGTACAAAGTGAGCTCGCTCAAAATCCGAACGATGACATTCAAATCGACGAAGAACTCGATCCAGCTGCATTGTATGAAGATGAAGAAGGTGAAAATGAATATTGATTGATTGATTTATATTCATTTAAATATTCTAAAGCTTTTCCCATGTTATTCAGGTGGTTATCGAGTTGGTGATATTTACATTCCACCACCGGTTAAACCTTATTGTTCCAGTGAATCACAAGGTGCTCGTCTAATTATTACTCAAATTATGAACACGAATTTCAAAAGTTATGCAGGCGACGTCCCACTCGGACCATTTTGTCATGTAATTAATTACCTTATTTAAAATCAATATAAAAATCAACTATAACCTTTATTTCATTCATATTGAATTCTTCATACAAACATAGCGTTTTCATGCAATCATTGGACCCAATGGAAGTGGAAAATCAAATGTTATTGACTCAATGTTGTTTGTATTTGGGTATCGTTCCAACAAAATCCGCTGCAAAAAACTCGCACTGATGATACATCACTCCAAGAAATATCCAAATGTAAACAGTTGCCGGGTAGCAGTTCACTTTGCACTGATTGAAGACAATCCGGATGGAACGTATCGCACAGTCGAAGACAGTGAGTTTGTTATCGCCCGCGAAGCACATCGGAATAATTCGTCATACTATACGATTAATGACCGTCGTGTACACTTCAAAGAGGTGGCGGCTCTACTAAAAAAACATGATGTCGATCTGGATCACAATCGATTCTTGATTTTACAAGTAAGATATTCTATATTTTGCATATGCTTTTCATTTGAATATATTACCATTATCAAAAATCCATGTTTTTAATTTTAAACAGGGTGAAGTTGAATCGATTGCTATGATGAAACCAAAAGCCCAGAATGATAATGAATGTGGCCATCTCGAGTATTTGGAAGATATAATTGGTACAACGCGGTACAAAGAACCATTGGAAAAAATTCATGCTCGAGTAGATGTACTGAGTGAAGAACGTACAGAAAAGCACAACCGTTGTAAAATGGCTGAACGTGAATTGAATGATTTGAAGGCTCCAATGGAAGAAGCTGTTGCATACTTGAAGCTGGAAAATGATCTTACCCGTACCAAAAATAAGGAAACTCAATTGCACATGTATGTATGAACAAAAGATGCCGTTGATTAATTGCTATTTTTGATAGAATCAATCCCAATATTGTTTCAAAGTAAAAACTTGCAAAATATTTGAGGTTATAACCTTCATTATTTCATTATTATAATTGTATGAACAAACCAAGTGCTCCAAAATAACCAACTTTGTATGCCCATTATTTTCATTATTTCTTTCAATCGCCTCTCTTTTTCAATTGTAATCGAATGTATTGTGTTTATAATGGGAAGGACGAAACATAAAAGTATTGAAAACGACAGAAGCGTTCCCAATTTATTTGTGGATGAATTGTTTACATATATTAAGATTAGCAGCGGAAAAAATTCAATCGTAAAAACTGAACATTCGAGTAATGTTCTAGCTTTATGTCGGTATTGTATTAAACAATTCTTCCACATTAATCGACGAAATGATACCGGTATTATAAATAGAATTCATTTGGTTTTTTTTCTTTTAAATTTGCCGTGCACAGCATAGATTCTGACACCAAAAATTTCAGGTAGGGTCAAACCAAAAATTCCTTTGGGGGTCAAAAAAATCAATTCTATCTAGTGTAAAATCGGTTTCGGAAGAAAGTGAAGACCTAAAAAAAAGGTCCTCACTTTTGAAAATTGATTCTATCTAGTGTTAAATCATTCTTCAAAATGCAATGATGGGTCAAATAAATGGATTCTATCTAATGTGAAATGTTCCCTTAACAAAAGTAAAGAGCAAAAAAAGGTCCTCATTTTTGGAAACAAAGTCGGAAAATGACAATGGGTCCGAAAAAATTCGTTGGGGGTCAAATTTCGCCAGCAGGGGTCAGGATCAATGAGATCAGACTATGTCAGAATCTATGCGTGCACGGTGGTTTTTCAGTGATTTGCATATATATGTATTTCAACAAAGATCAAATGTTGTGCACAAAAATGTTTTTAATGTTTTTTCTTTTATAATTTAAATTAGATAAAGCCAAAGTACGAAAAGAAAAATTAATGAAAAAAAAAAATTTATTTATGAATTACACGCATTCTTAATTGTTGAATGTGAACATAAACACAAACCCAAAGCAGTACAGACGCACACCCGACAGTTTGTATACTTACTGTTTGTGTGTGTGTCTCGACTGTTTTTCATTTTGGTATCCATGCTTATAATTCGCTAAGCAAAGAATTTACATAGAATAGTATATATGCGGTATGGATGGTTTTACACATATGGCCCTCAGCCTGGGCGTGGGGGCGCGCCGCCAACAGTCCTCGAGGCTGGGATTAGAGTCGAACGGCTCTAATCAATTAGACACTGCGATGTAGACCTATATGGTAGGCAATGAGCGGGCGCATCACTTACCGCTCCAACAATATCGGAGAAGAACTTGTGTTCAGTAATAGAGTATAACCTTCTTCCATTTTTTTTTTCAAAATTCGCAATAATTTCCTTGATAATTTTCTTAAATTATTCTATAACAATTTTAAATTGGTCACTTTTGATTGTCCTTTTTTTTTCTGATTCTACATGAAGAATCATTCTGTGAAAAATTATAACCGAACACTAGAGTTGATCGATCTGTAAAATCATATGGTACCATACCCAGATGTCTTAATCGAAAGAAAGCCTCAATACTAACAACGTTTGTTGTACGTCTTGGGCCTCAGAGGCCATATTAGGTGTGGGAAAGAGCAATTTATTGCTCTCCCAAAAATTTGGTATTGCTATTCATCACTTTCCAGCGGTCAAGATGATATGGAATAACTTCAAATGAGTTTTTGTTGTGATTTTAGTCAATGAACAATTGCTTTACAATTATTTAATATTACTTGGAAAGTTATGAATTTTTTATGGAAAAAAACTCCAAAAAATCTTCATTTCGGTCTTACAAATGAGTTCATAATTTATGAACCTATTCAACAGATACGACACTAAAAAAAGCCTTGAGAAATGTACAGCCGAATTGGAAGAAAAAGCAAAAAACCTGAAAGATCATGACAAAAAATATGAAGCCATTATCAATGAGCGAATGGAAAAAGAACAACAAATCCAAGACGAAATGGCGTAAGTGTTTGTAAATTGAATGGCTTTCAACACGAACGTCACCAATTTCCCATCTATTTGTAGAAATTATGACCGGATTGTAAAGAAAAAGGAAGAACATGAACAAATGAAGAAAAATGCTGACAGCAAATATAACGAAATTCAATCGTCGATGAACGAAACAAATAAACGACGTAAACAAATCGGTGCAACGTTGAAGAAGAAAGAGGAGGAACTTGAAGGATTAAAACGTGTTCCAGATAAAAACCAAAAAGAAATCACAGAGTGTGAACGCAAAGTTGAGCGTTTTGTTAAAGAAAAAGAAGAAGCTAATGAAGTGCTACAACGTAATTTACTCAAACTACAAGATAAAATCAAACCTTTGACCGAAAAAAAGCAAAACCTAGAAGCTGAGCTAGCAAATGTTCAACTTAAGCAGGATGCAGCTAAATCCGAGTTGGATGTCATTGAAAATGAGCTAAAATTAACTCAACAAAACGAATCAACCGAAAAGAAAAAATTCGAAGTTTACAAGGCTTCGTTGGAAAAATCGAAGGAAATATTGGAAACACGGCGCAGCGAACTCGCTGAAGGCGAACAAGCTATTCCTTCGATCAAGGCTAATATAGCCAAGTGTGATCAAGAAATTAATCAATTGAAGCACAAAGAGCAACAACTTCAAGGTGAAGTAGCAAATCTTCGATCAGTGGTATGTTCACGAACACTGCTTTCGAAGACGATCGGAACTAATTATACTTGACCTTCGTTATATTTATAGATTGAAGAAAAATCACACATGATGCAGCAGGCTCGATCAAATAACAAAGTTCTCGAACATTTGATGCGAAAGAAAATCAAAGGAGAGCTTCGAGGTGTTTTGGGCCGACTGGTAAGCCTTTCCAACTGCTCACTTTATTCGAAATAAAATTATATACAGTGCACCCCCGCAAATTAGAAACCCGAAAATTAGAAAACCTCAGAAATTAGGAATGAATTTCAGGTTTGAAAATTTGTATGGAAAATTTCTAATTTCCGGGGTTCATTTCTAATTTATGGGGTGTCCGAATCATTTCATTCAAGACAAAGGGAAATTTACTTCATTTTTAATGAAAAAACGTAATGAAAGTCCTTTCCATTTCGTTGAATAACTATATTAACAGATCAGCTTGAGATTTTCGACGTTTACCATGAAGTTAAAAATTAAGTCACGAAGTAATCTGTTCCATAATGTCTGCGTCAATCATCAATCTTCAATCATTAACAAATCGAAACCGATTTGTTCCATCAGAGAATTTGCATATACAAAATTGTATATAGAATGCTAACGTTTTCTGTTTACTATCGTATGATATAATAAGAACAGCCGGTCATCATTTATTTCGGTTTGTTCCGAGGAGTAGTTTATCCAGTAAAACAAAATAACAGACTTACTATATATTTATAATCACTAAAATAACTGCTTATAAGCATTTATTTACATACAATACTTGATTGAACAGTGTTCAATATATTGTTTTCAATTAGGCAAATCATTCCCCCTATCAGTTTTTCATTTGATACACCGTTTTTGGATGAAATTGAAAAATCCTCAGAAATTAGAAAACCCCCTAAATTAGAAATAAAATGTTCCGAGACCATTTCTAATTTAGGGGGTTTTCTAATTTCTGAGGATTTTTCAATTGAGTGCACTGTGTTTGAATATAGATTGCTGATTGAATTTAGATGTCTATCGAAACAATTGTATCGCTGAACGATATAAACATTTATGTAACAGAAAGGTTTAAAAATTAAAACAATTAGTAGTTTGATTTCATAGTAATTGCGTTATTTTGTGCTAAAAAATAATAAAGAATAATGCTAATTGGCATGTAATATAACAGGGTGATTTGGGTGGAATAGACAAGAAGTATGATGTTGCCATATCTACATGTTGCGGTCGACTGGATAACATTGTTGTTGACACTGTTGAAACGGCCGAACAATGTATTTTAAGTTTGAAGCAAAATAACGTTGGACGAGCAACATTCATTGCTCTGGAAAAAATTGAGCACTATGCTGACTACATAAATCCGATTCAAACGTAAGTAACTCATCAACCTTTTTATCAGTCCTAATCAATTTGTGAATGATATATTTTACTATTGATTCATATTCTAACCCTAATTGTATAAAAAGATCAGAGTTTTTCATGAATCCATATTAATTTGTTTTTCCTGCAAAAACGCAAATGATACAGCCAGTGCTTGGCGGTGAAATAATAAATAAATAAACAATATATATTTACTGTCATTTCTCAACAGACCAGAAGATGCACCTCGGCTTTACGATTTGGTTCGCATTGAAGATGAACGTTTGGCTGCTGCCTTCTACTTTGCCTTGAGAGATACTCTTGTGGCAAATGATATGGATCAAGCAACACGAATCGCATATGGTAGAAGTCGTTATCGTGTTGTTACATTAAAAGGTGACGTAATCGAAATGTCAGGCACAATGTCTGGTGGTGGTCGCACACAATTCCGTGGCAAAATGGGAGAAAAGGTCAAAACAAAAACAGCTGTCTCACATAATACATCAATTGGTGGTAATACTACCATTGAAGATTTAGATGACATTCGTGCGAAAGCACAATCCATTCAAGATGAAATCAACTATACACAGCAAATGCAAGGAGAAAAAGGAAAAGTTTTATCTGATTTAAAGGCAAGTCTACCGAGAGAAGAGGCTAAATTAAAACGGTTCAAGACTGATATACAAACGTACGCACAACAAATTCCGGCCCTTGAATCCCAATTGGAAGACCAACGTAAAATCATGGAAGAAACGCGTTCCGATCCGAAAATGGTTGCTGAACTTAACCGTGAAATTGCGAATCAGATGAAAACCTACGAAAAATGTCAAGCAGATACAAAGAAACTGCAGGATCAAGTTGATGCAGTTAATCAGGAAATCAAAGTTATTAACGAGGATCAAATTGGCTCTGTGGAGAAGTCCATCGAAAATTTAGATAAACAAATAAAGAAATTGTCAAACCAAGCAACAAAACTAAAGGTCGAAATCGCAACAGCTGAACGAAATATGAAAAAGGCTGAAGAGAATATAGCTACAATGAAAGAGGAAATTACAACCGCTCAAAATGACATCATCAGAATGAATGATGAACGAGATCAGGCCGAAAAGGATGGAGCTGAAATCGAAAAACGACTACAGGAAATCGTAAAGGAGATTTCACAAACACAAAATGGGTCAAGCGATATAAAAAAGGAAGTAATTGCTTTGCAAAAACAAGAATCTGATGCAAAACTACAGCGGGTTGAAATTGAACAGACCGTACACAAGATTGAAAAGACAGTGCGTGACTTGAAAGCAAGCATTCCATATTATAAAAAGAAGTTGGACCCGTTGAAGTTACATCAAATACCGAACGAGGACCCGCCTCAGCCACTGAAAACATACACAGATGAAGAACTCTCAGCATACGCTATAGCAGAAATCCAGTATCGCATTGAAGTTTTCGAGGGTGAGCTAAAAGCAAAAACACCAAATTTGAATGTAATCGATGAATATCAGAAAAAGCGTGACGTATATATGGATCGAATCAAAGTGCTTGAAGAAATTACGAATAAGCGAAACGAAATGCGGAAATTATTTGAAGATATCAAGAAGCGACGATATACGGAATTCATGCAAGGCTTCAATATTATAACACATAAATTGAAGGAAATGTACCAAATGATTACTCAAGGCGGTAATGCTGATTTGGAGTTGGTCGATTCAATGGACCCATTCAGTGAAGGTATTTCATTCAGTGTGCGACCGCCGCGTAAGTCCTGGAAGAATATCTCCAATCTATCTGGTGGAGAAAAAACACTGTCATCACTTGCTTTGGTTTTTGCTCTCCATTATTACAAACCTTCACCACTGTATTTCATGGACGAAATCGATGCTGCGCTTGATTTCAAAAATGTATCCATCGTTGCAAATTATATTCGCGACCGCACCAAAAACGCACAGTTCATCATCATTTCACTACGTTCCAATATGTTTGAACTAGCTGACTATCTCACCGGAATTTATAAAGTTGACGATTGTACCGATTCAATAACAATTGAGAATGTCCCGCCAAAGTCGATTGGAAGTGCTTCGCAGGTATTTCATCATTATTACTCTTCACCTTACAGCATTCCTTTTTCAGAGAGGGTTCATTGCACAATATAAAATACATAAAAAAATAAATCATATTCTATCCCTGTATAGCAACCACCATCGAGCCAACGTAGCACATCTGACAACATAATGCCTTCTCAGTCAATTTTTTCGTCACAAAACTCTTCCCAAACCCAATCCTTGCCGGACCAATCCATATCTTCTTCTTCAGCTTTGAACGACCCGAACAACGATGATGCGGAGGTAATCAATAGTATGCAACTACATTCGGAGCAGGATCAGCTGCTAGACAATGACCTAGATACTGAAGTTGACAAATAATTATGGAAACCAAACCGAGTCTTTTTTACAATATATAAATATTTAAATGTTTAGTTTAATGTTTTTTGCAGTATCTTTTTTGATTTAAAACTAGTTTTCCCAATTCAAAACAAGTGACATATTTTCAAATGTCTCAGATTCATCTGCATTATTTTAAGATAATTTTTTCATTTAAAAAAAATTATTTAGAATATATGAAATTTTCGTTGGAATTAAATAAATAGTGAAAAAGAACTATGGTATTTCGTTGTATAGTTACTAGCCGACACAACGGTAGATAGGGGCACAAAATCAGCTCCCAGCAAAATAACTTAACGATACATGAATTATTATTAAAATCAAAAAATCAAAACTAAAACTAAAATGCTGCTGCGTTCTACTGCGTCTCAACCACGTATGTATTGAACCCGTCGGAGTATATTTAGAGCCCACGATCCAATACGAATATATCGGGAGTGTATCCATTGAACATCTCAAAATGACCTGAAATCACGAACAACAATGTATAATGTTCCATTTTTGCATGCCGATCAAAATATTACCTTTGTATAAGATGCATTTTGCAGCCACTGTATCACGATGCCAAACTGTGTTCAGTCCTGTTGGACGCTGATTTGATTCGTTGCTTTGCTGTAAATAGGCCTCCGCCTCTTCGAAAGTATGATGCGTTAGATCTTCGACGTATGTGGCTTCATCTTCTTCTTGTGCAGCAGCATTCTCCGATTGTTCAATTATTGATTTGGATTTTCTGCTGCATTTCCAACCACTTTACTTTAGGTTTTGGTCGCAATTTCTCACGTTCCGATTTCAATTGTCGCCGGCTCAATTGTGTCTCAATGATGTCTGGCAATCAGACGTGTGCAAGGTCAAAAATTCTAGAGGGGGGTAAAATGATTTTGCCAGTTGGGGGGGGGGGTGAATTTATAAATGGGGGTCTGCAAATTTATAAATGGGTGTCAAACAAAAATGAAGACCTAAAAGAAAGGTCCTCACTTTTGAAAATCGATTATATCCAGTTTAAAATTTTCCAAATCGCTCGAGGGGGGTCTCACATTTGGAATCCTAGAGGGGGGTAAAACCGGACTCCCCCCCCCCCCCCGCCCCCTTGCACACGTCTGCTGGCAATCCAACTTCTGGTTTCGGTTCACAATTGTGGCACACCTTGAATCGATGACGGAGGAATGTTCTATATTTAATAGATAGAATAAGAATTGAGGTTTGTTCACGGTAACGAATTTCAAAATGGAAAAGACCACTAGGGATAACCTGCACAGCGTTAGTTCTACCTAGACAATTTGAAAAGTGAGCATCAAAAATAAAATGAAGCAATGAACTTAAAAATGTACTCTTTCCTTTATTTGTTTTGTTTCTTTCGGATCAATATCATATATGGATGAATATTCACTTCGCATGGGCAATTTAAAACATGAACTTTTTTAATCCATCGATGTGTTTTTGCTCTGGAAGTGTGAATAACATTCACTATGTTGTTTGAATACCATCAATTTTCACAGAATTTTTTACTCTTCAAATTGATGCTACACAATTTTTGTTCTGCAATTTTTTTATAAATTATAAGACATAGAAACGCTTAAGAATATATTTTTAGACTATTTAGTCGGACTCTTAATATTCATGCATTATTATTTGTTCAAAATGAAAGAACATTTAAACCGATATAACCAAATTGTTTGCTGTCAAACTTTGTCTCGCTCACGCCAACTGTCGCACTGACTCGTTCGTGTACGAACTGCTGTTAGCGTAAAAGAGACTTTGTTCGTAGTGGACTCAGTTTAGATGTTCTTTCTGTTCGTCAGATAAATTAGTCATTTTCGCGTAAATAAATTGGAAAATCAATATGGCAAAAAGGCCATTTCACGAATCATTCCACAAAATAAATTTAGGAAATATTCTTTCCTGTTTGAACTTTCCCATCTTGAGCTATAGCTGTATGAGGAAACTTAAGTAAATAGCGGGAGGTGATAAAAATTATAGCCTCGAAAACCAATAGCTGCAAGCCATATGTAAACCACATGATAGGCCCCTGTAATGAAGTGAAGTTGTATTATGTTTAATTGCAAAATGTTATAAGTTGTGGAACTGACCAGGTATAAAACATATAGATCCTGTTTAAGTGGGAGCATTGGGATGGTTCCGAAAAACGAACAATGTTCATAAAATAGAAGAAGATAAAACCATTAATGAAATAATAGTAATATATTTTATTATTGATCAATATTAAATACACACCTGCTAATAGAAAGACGAATCCGCGGGAACCATTCGCTGGGTTCGCGATTGAAATGATACCCAAACAAACTAGCACAACACCTGTATAAATGGTAATGATCGGAATTGTAGGTGCTGCTATATAATAAGAATAAAACTAAAATTGTGATTTTTACCTATAACAAGCAATGTTACTGCTGCCAAAACGGTACGCCAATTTTCTCGAATTTTAGGATGGTTCCAACAATGGGAGTAAAGATCTGTTTGTGGCACATTTATGTACTCTTGGATAAGTGAATCGCTATCCCTACTCGATGTGGTATCATCAGCGCCAAATTTATTATTTCTATTAATTGAAAACCATAGAAAATTTGGCCACTAATTATTTAATTCTGAATATCAATAAGTATCAATGACCAAAAATCTATTGGCGTTGTTTTTATTTCATTTCAATTCTGACCTAGGATCACATGTCATCTCATTTGTTGTTGTTGTTGTATTATTGCTAGCATACCCTACGCCAGTATTTCCGCTACCCGATGCCGATCCAGATGGTTTTGGTACATTGGAAATAACCGTTGATCCATACACTCGAATTGCTTCATCATTCTCCTCTTCAAATGCGTCATGGATGGAAAATCGTGGTTGCTTCATATTGTTGTCACTAATAGAAATGTGTGTATGCCAACAACAATAATAATTGAGCGTAACTCAAAGAAGTAAAGAAGAAGAAACACTTTCGACCGCCTTTAGTATTATTTAAATAAGTTTTATAATTTGTTGTTACAACATAATTGATCTCTTCGCAGTATAATAGACGACAAAAACATCTTAATTAATTTTAAGCGAAAATATGATTTTTCGCGCTAATCAGTCGAATCGGTATTGAGAATGTAAATACTGTTTAAATTGAATGAAACACATACTTCCTACCGAACAATATAATGAGATTGCTCTATATAACTAATTGAATAGTTGTCCAATGAGTTTATTGAAATAGACATTTATACTGCATACAATTTTCCAATATATGTGTAATGTATACACTTACATGAACTGGCAGAAGACAAACAAACAGAAACACAATCAGACTAATACGAAATTATCATGATGATTTACTATCAATATCCATTTTAATGTGCCAATAATCAAATTATATGACGTACATATATAAATTCAAAAATGATGCGACTAGCTATTTATTTAACTGAAGCGATCATCGTTTTTACTCTTTGATGCATTCAATGTTATAGTTTTGATGACAGATTGAACGCCATTATATAAACACTACAAGATTCGCATGCGACAACACGAATATGTCAAACCACCATTGCATTTGAAGCCAAATATACGTTAAGAATTTTCAAAAGTAGCAAGAGTCATCAATACAAATATATCCGAATGGCGGCATGTACGCTTACATTGTATACTTGTTCTTTTTCAATTGAGATTTTTGTGAATTCTGAGTTAGGACTTTTAAGTCACTAAACGATTATAAAAGTTTGACTGTTTGTTTCAATTTTGAAAATAAAAATTCTATTTATTGGTTTCTACGCGTCATATTTCTTAGTATTACAAACAAAATTAGAGAAATATGTCTAAAAATAATTCTATAATCTCACGAACACATCGTTTGAATAAATTAATTGTGTGTTGTTCGGATGATTTGAATTCTGGTGGTCAGTCAAATCTGAATCGTGAAACACTGTTAGATGCATTTGATGTGCTGTATAATGAGTGCAACAAAGATGCACTCAAGAAAAGTGATCGAAATATCTTCGAATTCACCAAAAAATGTGAGGTTTCCATTTAAAATACCGTAAAAAATTGATTATAATAATGATTTACTTTTGAAATTCTAAAGATCGTAGCATTTTGGGCGAAACAAAGAAGCTGCGTGCTAGTATTGATGATTTCAACATAAAAGAATTGATTGGCAAAGGATTTTTTGGTGAAGTACATTTGGCTTTTGAGAAAGTTACACACGATGTCTATGCCATTAAAAAAATATCGAAAAAATCTTTCACACAATCGAAAGAAGAGCGAAATATTATGGCTACTAGTCGTTCAGATTGGATACCAAAGTTACAGTATGCCTTTCAAGTAAGTTCTAGATTTCAACACTTATAATCTAAGGTCAACGTCAATCTTTTTACAGGAACACATGTTATCAATTCTAAAAGCGATAAATATTAGTTTCAAATATGCTTAAATATTCGTTCACATCATTGATAAATCTACTGTGTAATTAATTCAGAGCAAAATGTTGAAAGCATGTTTGAGATTTTGGCGTTGACATGAAATATAATAACACAACTTGGTCGCATTAATGAAACTTCAAAATAACCAAACGTACCAAACATACATATTTTATTTTCATTTCCAATGGAAAATGCTCAACCATGGCTATACGCTTATTTGCATTTGGAGTAAGGTTGCCCCCTTCAAAACCATGGAGCAATGAGTTGAATAGAAAATGCCCAATTTTTGCATTTTTGCCAAAAAAGAGCCACGCTAATTGTAGAAATTGGTATTTTTCCACTAAGAAATTTCAAAAAATGATTCATGAAGTCTCAAACAAGTCATTTTATAAATTTATTGAAATAATTGTGTCATCTTAACAGGATCCAACTCATTTGTATTTGGTGATGGAATATTTACCTGGTGGCGATTTATTCAGTCTAATGATACGAAATAATACATTTTCCGAAGATATTGTTCAATTTTATTTGGCTGAAATAACATTAGCGTTGAATGCTTTACATACTCTTGGTTATGTCCATCGCGATGTCAAACCCGAAAATATATTGTTGGATCGCCTTGGACATTTGAAATTAGCTGATTTCGGCAGCGCCGTTTTCATCGAGAAAGATGGATATGTAACCAGCTATACACCAGCGGGAACGCCTGATTATATTGGTAAAAAAAAACAAATGAAATATTCCATTGAAAACATGTTTTACAAGACCCAATTTTATTTTTCTACTAGCTCCGGAGCTATTGCAGCCCATCCACTCCAAAAGGCCGATGAAAACAAAATATAATGTAAGCCCATTCACCGCATTTTATATGTAATGATAACATAAATTATATAAATTAAAATTTAAATTTTACTACAGGAAACATGTGACTTTTGGTCTATGGGAATTATTGCGTATGAGATGTTAACGGAAACCACTCCATTCCATAGCCAGAATGTTCATGACACCTATAATCAAATTTTGTCATATGTTGATGACAATAATATTGAGAAATTACATTATCCGGAAGATATCGAAGTCTCTGATGATCTTCGCGATTTGATCGATCGTTTGGTCACAAAAGTAAACAATCGATTAACGTACAAGAAAATTATAACACATAAATTTTTTCAAACGATTGACTGGATGAACCTCAGACAGCAAATACCACCAATAATTCCGACATTAAATGGAGAAGATGACACGTCCAATTTTGAGGGGGACGCAAAAAAATCGCGCCGCAATAATACATTTGATACTTCTCCACCTGCATGCTCAATCAAAAATGGTAACTTCTCCGGCTTTGATTTACCTTTCATTGGTTTTGGTTATACTCAAGAGCAAAACGACGGAATATTATCAACTGGATCTTCAATTGAGGTCAGTCGTTTAACAACACAGGTTAAAAGTTTACAGAAAACCATAGACACACAAATGTCAGATATCGGATCTCTACAGAAGAATCTCTCGGAATATCAGAAAAAAAGTGCACAAGCAACGTCTATGGAAAAAATTTTGGGTATTACTAAAGAAGAAATGAACGCATTGAAAGAAAAGCTCAAGGAGAAAACAATTGAAATTGCCTGTTATCGCACGCAAATAAAAACGCTAAAGAATTCTCTGAAAATTGAAGAGGAACAAAGAGTAAAGAATGACGCAAACATTGCCGATGTACTAAATTCGACATACCAAAAGTGGGAAAGAGCCAAAAAGCAATCTGAACAGAATTATGAAAAGCAAATCTCAGAGAAAAAATCAGAAGTGTTGGCCATTCAAGCAAAGTGGAAGGTTTGTGAACGAGAGCTGAAATCAAAGTCGGTCGAATGTATTCATCTACAAGCAACAGTTGACAATTTGACGGAACTCTTAAAGTCATCTAAATGCCAGAGAAATACAGAGAAAACTGATTTGTCTAGAAAACATCGTGAATCGAATGTACACTTTGAAGGACAGTTGCGTGATTTGCGTGCAAAGTTGCAGACGCAAACCGATGCGAAGCATATGGCTGATGATGAAAATCAAAGATTGAAAGGAATTATTGAAGAAACTAATCAAAAGCTAAAATTGATCTCAGAACAAAACGGGAAATTCGATCAATCTAATGTCAAACTGACACAACAATTGAATAAAGAAATTGACGAGAATCGTAAACTACGTGATGAGAACAATAAATTGTTACAAACAACTATGGATCTACAGAACAAAATAGAAGACCTGACTAACCAAACGTACAAAGGATGTCGCATCTCAGATTTCAATGAGGGAAGCGCCAGTATATATTGTAGCTTAGAGAGCATATCATCCGAAATCGAAACCCAATTGAAAAAAGACTTGAAAGTTGCTAAAGAAGGTGAAAATGAGCAACGTTTGCGTGCAAACAGCCTTGAAGAAACGGTCAAGCGTCTGGAAGCGGTGATCGAACGTGTAAGCAAACAAGGAATTTCAGGCGTCGAAGTTATGCTTGAACGCAAGAATGAAAAACTCGAAGAAAAATTGAGCACAGTACAAGAACAAGCTACTATTGAGAAGCAGGCATCAAGAACAGCACATTTACAGCTTTGGAAAAGTGAGAAAGAGCTTGACACAATCAAAAATGAGAAGCGTCGTCTAGAGCAGGATGTTAAAAAATTACAGAACGAAGTTGACGAATTAACGAGAAAGTTTAAAGAAAATAAATTGATTGCACAAAATCGCGAGGAACGCATCAAGGAACTACAAATTGATTTGTCAACACGAAAAAGCGAATCACAAGTCGAACGTAGTAGGTGGGCATTCGTTGAAAAAGAACGGAATAAAGAAAAGATTCAAATTGTCAATCAGAATGCGAAAATTCATAAAATGGAAATCGATTTGGCCGAATGCAGAAGTACAATGGGTTTATTTGAGCAACAAAAGAGTACTTTAACAATTGAAAATCAGCAATTAATACAAAAATTACGAAAAGAAAGCGAGAAACTTGACGAAACGACGGAAAAATTGACTGAGTGCCAACAGAGCTATGAAACCGTCAACAAAAACTATGAAGTCCTAAAAAGTGTGTGTTCACTTATGGAGACGCAGCTCACAGAGCTTGAAGAGATGTATAACGCACAGCTCGAGCAAAATAAAGAAAAGTCTGTGTCAATCGACAAACTGTGGGAGGATATTCGTGAACGTGATTCAAAGTTATTGAAACTTCAACGGGAGATCTCCGATGAGAAAATACAAAAAGTTAACATCAAACAAAAATCCTCAGAACTTTCAAACGAAGTGACCGAGTTGACAAGCACATTGGACGAATATCAACAAAAAATTAGTACAATGCAACAAGAAATTTTGGGAAAATCGGAGTGTTTGATCAAATCTGAGGAGATGGTAGAACTTCAAAAGGAAGAAATACAAAGTTTACAGCGCATTAATCGCTCACTTGACAGAGAAATCATTATAGTTAAAGAAGAAAATTCAAAATTGCTCACTGAACTATATATGTCGAAGGAAAGCTACCAAAAATTGCAATTCGACTACTCCTCGATACTTGAAAGTTATAATGATCTGAGAAAAGAGCTGGAACAGTTGAATGGAACTGTTTCTGAATTGAACAAGTACCACATGCAGCGTGAGATCAAATCTGAAGCAACACAAGCACAATATAAAAAATTGATTGACTATCTGCAAAAACGAGTCGACGAACTATCACAGAAGAAAAAGAAAACACTAGCTGAAGTCTTATTCGGAAGCAACAATGGAAATAATTCATCGAAAAAAGAAAATATACCACCTATTTCAAGCCATGTTCGAAAAGAACTGGACACAGAACGGTTGCGTTTGAGTGAAAAATCACAAACAATCAAAATGACAAAGAAAAAAGAAGACAAGGCCAGTAAACTGCTTGAAACTTTTTCGAAAAACCCCGTAGAAGAGCAAGCAATTGCAACAAAAGAAATTCCATCAAGCATATTAAATTCAGAAACACATCTATTTGAACGAACAACTTACTTGAATGGCTCGAACATGTCGGACAGATGTATTGTTTGCAAGAAGTGCTTTGTGAGTGACACAATTTACCAATGTAAAAAGTGTAATGCTTGTATTCATCAATACTGCCGTGGCAGCAACAGCTTGAAATGTAATTCGGAAAAATTCGATTTAGAACCATCAATACAGCAAGAGTATACTGGTGACATAATATTGAAGGATGAACCAGCTATGGAGATATTTTGCCTATACGAAATTGCGGAAAATGTTCTGATAATGGGTAAGTAGAAAAACATGATTCAACTATTGAAACGAATACAATTTTTATTGCGTCTTTTCACTTTTCAATTCCAGGTTGCGCTTCTGGTTTAAAAGCATTTAATATAAACAACAATAAAATCATACATATTGCAAATATTGATAACATCATAAATTTTGCGATCATCCCAACGTTCCCCAAATCAGTTTTAATTAGCGAAAATGGGAAAAAACTGCTACAATGCGATTTAAGACATCTTCAAACACGTGCAAAAGCATCAGTTTGTCTGAATACAGGGATGGATTATATTGAATTAAATTTGCCATTCATCAAGGAGAATAGTCGAGGCAATGACTTATGGCGTTTCGCAAAAATTTTTGATAATACCGATCGTGACAAAAACACTTCGGAGCCAACTGCAATTGCTGCTACACATACACAAATCGTCATTCTACGATATGATTTTGAAAATCAGTACTTTAAAGCGATCCGATCATTGGATACCGCAACCCCTATACAGTCCATATACTTCACACCATTCACAGCTATTGTGAGCTCCGATAAATTTTTTGAAATCGATCTTAACACGCTAATATCGGAAGAATTCCTCGACATGAGTGACACTAGCTTACGGCACACTCTAGAATCATGCCCACTGAACACATTCGCAGTAGACGCGCAAGAGTATTTGATGTGTTTCACAGATTTTGGTCTCTTTGTCAATGAATTTGGCTGTCGAACACGTCCAACAGAATTGAAATGGCTTAAAGGCCCGGCAAATGCATTTGCATACAGAGTACCCATTCTGTACGTCTTCAGTGAAGATGGAATACAATTGATCCGCATACACAAATCACAAACGGGTTGTGAATTGGAAACGGGCGAGTCTGATTATGATTATAGTGAGAAATCATGTTCTCAAACATTTATCAACGTAAAAAATGCTGTATTTGGAGCAAATTTTGATGAATGCGGCATATACATCCTGTCGTCGTCAAACCTCGATGGTACCAATGCTTCAACCAAACAAATTGTTCGAATTAATGGCGCAAAAGCTCTAAATTATGAGCACTTCGAAATGTTGGATTAAATAACTTTTCATTTTCATTTTAATTTAATTTTCTTTTTCAGGCGGAATGTTCTCGCCCTAACATAAGCATTTATGAAAACTCGGATCCGAGCTTTTTAATTTTTTTAACCATTACAGCTAACATTTTCAAGATATTCTCGAATTCTTGTTTGCTTGCCAACCTATGAATAAGAAAATAAAGAAATAAACTGTTTTAAAACGATTCTGTTGTGACAAAAAATTCCGGATGTACAATCATTGTACATTATACATAGGTAGATCAAACGAGTTTAATTTTCCAGAAGAAAAGGACTAGCCCATGGTAATGAGAAGAGAGAATTGTGTGTCAGCACCATCCCAGAAAAAAGAATCATGAAACTCTCCATCATTGTCAGAATAAGGATTTAACTTGTTTAAGCATTTTTCATTATTTTATATTCATCTTGTAAATTTAGAGTCAAGCATATATTTGACTTGAAGATTTTGACGAATTGATCAAAAACCAAAAAAATAAAATCGTTACAAATAAATTATTTTGCTGAGTATAAAAGTAGCCAATACTTGAAGAATGGTTCGAACTGTCGCGCAACTGAAATATGTTTGTAAAAATGTTTCATGAATCGTCGTGAATGTGAATTTAGAATGTGGATTTTCGTATTTTCCGCGAAAATGATAAGAGATAACGTAATGTCATCGTCAACAAAGTTAAAGAATTTTTCCTTCGCTGAACATACTAACTCATTATCGTTTATCATTTTCGCGAAAAACACAGAAAAATACATTCGAATTCCCCTTTTCGGTGGTGCGTTTCATGTTGCTCTTTAGTTCATAAAAACTGTAACGTTTGAGAATAATAGAGTGTTACATGTTACACGTTAATAGAGTGTACATTTACTAGATTGTAAATGGATTTTCATTGATATAATAATAGCATCATTTTAAGAATGTTGAAGTTATGTTACTTAACTTCAGTTCTCTAGAGTACTGAACAAAACGAAAAGTACGAACGAACCCTAAACTATGAACTTGACGTTGACGTCTTCGAAATTTAACCGCATATTTCGGTCGCTTGTTCTGAGGGCATATGCGAAGAAAGTACATCATTTTAGAAAACAATTATATTAAACGGTAAAAAACACTAAAGGTAATGTTTGAACCACAGGAAATTCGATCGGAACATAAGGATGTGATTCATGATGTTTCATATGATTATTATGGGCAAAGAATCGCAACATGCTCGTCCGATCAAACAGTGAAGGTAAATAAAATGTTTCTAAAAATATGTATGTTTTCTTTATAAATATATGACAGTAATTGTTTTTGTTCAATGTAGTTTTTATCTATCGAAATGTTATATATTTTGTAGATATGGGACCATAATGAAAAAGGTGTTTGGATCGTGTCAGCTAGTTGGAAAGCGCATTCTGGATCTGTCTGGCGTTTATCATGGGCACATCCCGAATTTGGAACAGTACTAGCAACATGTTCCTTTGATCGTACAGTTTCAGTCTGGGAAGAAACAATCGGTGAAAAGCCGACACCTACGATGACACCCGTTAAACGTTGGGTGCGGCGCACAAGCTTAGTTGATTCGAGAACAAGTGTTACGGACTGTAAGTTTGGTCCAAAGTCTCAAGGACTTGTACTGGCAACATGTTCAGCCGACGGTATAATTCGCATATACGAAGCTCCAGATATAATGAATTTGTCCCAATGGACTCTGGCTTATGATGTCGCATGCAAAATGCCACTAAGCTGTTTGACATGGAATCATTCAATGTACCGCTTACACATGCCAATGATAGCAGTAATTACATTTCTATTTATTGTTTGACGCTTTTTCAACTTTATTCAGCGTGTTTATTTCGATAGGCTGGCAGTGATGAAGTACAAACCATAGGCGGCAACAGTTCACGGGTGTATTTGTTTGAATATAGCGTTGCTGGGAATGGTAAATGGACAAAAACCGATTCAATAAATGTCTGTGATCCAGTGCATGACATTGCATTCTCTCCTAATGTTGGGCGATCCTATCATATTCTTGCCATTGCATCCAAAGATCTATATATATATAGCATTTCACCTTCAACGTAAGTGTATAAATATAATTATAGATATAAATCTGAATCCAATGACTTATTAGATGGATATGTTCATTGTTATTGTAGAGAAGTGAGTACATCACGATTCGACGTGCAAATTATGTCTAGATTCTCCGATCATAGTTGCACGGTTTGGCGTGTTTCTTGGAACTTGACCGGCACCATTCTTTCATCATCTGGTATGTAAAAAACATGAATCAAACTATTAAACCAGATTAAATTTGTATGGATTCTTTTCATTTTTCAATGCCAGGAGATGATGGCTGTGTTCGAATGTGGAAAAGTAAATTAAACAAACATTTCTTCATAGTTTGATTCAAAAGATTAAGAATATTTCTTTATTCATTTGTAGTGAATTATCTGAAACATTGGAAATGTGCAGCAATCCTCAAACAAGACGGTTCACAATCACCACAAGATTCATCGATAAATCCTTCCATAGCCACACCAAGCACAACATTGGCTACAACAAAATATTACAAACGCGGTAATTTGAGCCACCCCAACGAAGTACTTTTGCACTAACATCAATTTGCCATCAATAATTGGATTCACTCAAGTCTTTTATATTCAAATATTACTTCTGAATTGTCATTTTTTTTAACAAAAAATAAAACACGAAATACAATGTAACAATATACAGTAGTGTATTTTAAATAATCATGTAATTTTAACCCTTACCTGGTTAGACGTCTATACAGGCAAGCTACAGTGTTTGCTCAAAGATAATTTTCTGAATAATGGTTCTATTTCTACGGCGGCCGATCATTACAGTGGCTCATTTTTGGAAAAGTTTGAAATTCGTCGATGGTCCGCACCAAAACCTCTAGCGGGCAACAATAACAACAACAAACGTTTCGTTTGAAGAACATTAATACCCATCCGTGTGCGATTGCTTTAACGAGACTGTTTCTTCTTTTTCACACTAAAGACGGAGCTATTGTTGTAAAAATGTTGAGAAATGAGTGCGTTTAATGAAATGCCAATATCCGCGTAGAGCTATACTAAATAAAAATATTTTTGAAATTCGTATCAAATTGGTATGAATAAATATATTTTTAATGGATAATTTGGTGTAGAAAAAATGGCTCATTACGGATCCTCCTTTAAAATTTACAAGTCGCCAATAAAAATGACAAAAAAATTCAATTGATTGTTTTGTTACATTTTATTTCGATTTGTTGTCGATTTTGTTGAATTTTTTTGTCATTTTTATTGGCGACTTATAAATTTTAAAGGAGGATCCGTAATGAGCCATCTTTTCTACACCAAATTATCCATTAAAAATATATTTATTCATACCAATTTGATACGAATTTCAAAAATATTTTTATTTAGTATAGCTCTACGCGGATATTGGCATTTCATTAAACGCACTCATTTCTCAACATTTTTACAAAATCGACAACAAATCGAAATAAAATGTAACAAAACAATCAATAAAATTAACATTACGTCCAATGAAATTGCCAGATTGAGAAAATAATTTTGACAATATGGGTAATAGAATTGCCAAATTAGAAAATAAATCTGACAAAATGGGTATAAAATTTTTTGCAATAAATTTGAGTAAATTTATATATTTAGTGCTTGCTATTGTCAAATTTATTGAAAAAAGTGTCATTTCCCTATCCATTTTGTCAGATATATTGCTAATTTTGTCATTGAAAAAAGTCCCATTTTCCCCTTATTGGACATTGTAAAATGTGATTAAATTTCAAAATATCCATTAAAAGAGTTTTAAAGTATTGGGACTTGGAATTAATTTTAAAGGATTTTTTTCGATTTTTTAACATTTATTTAGAAAAAATGGTACAATGTATTTTATTCAAAGTATTGGCCATCGTTAGCTATGACTTTTTCCCATCTTTCTGGCAGCATACGAATACCGCGACGAAAAAAGTCTTCGTCTTTTGACTTGATCCAATCATCCACCCATTTTTGGACTTGCTCGAAAGACTGGAAGCGCTGATCACCAAGGGCACGTGTCATTGATCGGAAGAGGTGGTAATCCGAAGGAGCGATGTCTGGACTATACGGCGGGTGGGGTAGCACATCCCATTTCAATGTTTCCAAATAAGTTTTGACCGGTTTTGCGACGTGAGGTCGATCATTGTCGTGTTGGAGTATAACTTTTTCGTGTCTTTGCTCATATTCCGGCCGTTTTTCCTTCAATGCTCGCCTCAAACGCATCAATTGTGTACGGTAGCGTTCGCCTGTGATCGTTTCACCAGGTTTCAGCAGCTCATAATAAATCACGCCTCGCTGGTCCCACCAAATACAGAGCATTACCTTAAAACCGTGAATATTCGGCTTTGGCGTTGATGGGTCGGCTTGGCCAGGCCTAACATATGCTTTTTTCTTCTTTGGATTATCGTAATGTATCCACTTTTCGTCTCCCGTCACGATGCGATGCAAAAAACCTTTCCGTTTTTGTCGTTGAAGCAGTTGTTCACACATCACAAAACGACGCTCGACGTCTCTCTCTTTCAGTTGATACGGCACCCAATTTCTTTGCTTTTGAATCATTCCCAAGGCTTTGAGGCGTTTGCCGACTGTTGATAAGTCAACTCCCAATGATTCAGACAATTCTTGAAGCGTTTGACACGGGTCTTCATCGAGTAATGCCTCCAATTCTTCATCTTCAAACTTTTTCGGCTGGCCTGGGCGTTCCTTGTCGTCCGTGTCAAAATCACCACTTTTAAACCGACGAAACCAGTATTCACAAGTGGAAATTGAAGGAGCATAGTCCCCATAAGCCTCACAAAGCAAACGATGTCCTTCAGCTGGGTTTTTCTTCAAATGGAAGCAGAAAAGCAAAGCTTCCCGCAAATTGGTCTTCGTAGGCACAAAAGTTGACATGTTCACAGAGCAAAAAAACTTTTTGTTTACACTTCGGCGAAATGACGCATACTGGAAATTGAAGCTAAATGATGACAGTTTACCATGAATATAGTCACATAATGGCCCGATGCGATTTGAGGCTCTTAACGCCATCTCTTTTCAATCCTTTAAAATTAATTCCAAGTCCCAATAATTTTAGACCCATTACTTCATTGAAACATATTAATTTCCAACCACCAAAGCTCTGGAAAGTGCATTTTTTATGTATCCCCCAAACAAAAGTTCAATTTCATACAGTCAGATGCAAAAATGCCGATTTATGACCAAAATGACAACGAAATGGATATTCAAGTGTTCGTGGACTCCCATTATTTTCACGAAAAAATAGCAGTTTTCTAAGACCAAAATGTCGTCAGAGGTGCATTTCACGTGTTTTCTGAACAAAAATATCATTTTCAGTAAAAATAGAGCAAGTTGAAAAATTCACTTCAATCCGACTAATCGATTGCTCGTCGAAAATTGAGCGGATATGGTCTTTCGTGAGCCTTTTTCAGCCAGTAGATGCGTTTTTTTGGCAGCAATTTCATCGTAGAATGCGACTCTTCGTACAAATTCCTTTCATTGATGAATTGCCTATGCCCAGAACTTCGAAATACGAATTTTCCCGGATAAATGGCATATGCCATTTTGTTGGTATGGTAGCCTGCTACAAACGCTCAGTTTTTGGTAAAAATTGTCGGACTCATTTTTGAGAAATCACCTTTGGCGTGAAATTTAATTTGGACGTAATGTTGATTTTATTGATTGTTTTGGGTTGATAGGAAAATGCTTGACCAAAATTGGAAATTGTCTGACCGAAATGGGAAAATGTTTGACGAAAATGGGAAAATGTTTGACGAAAATCGGAAAATGTTTGACCAACCAAAATTTATTCAAAAAAATGGAAAACTACACATTTAGGATATGAAAATGTAGGTCTGGTCTCATTCAAGGCATCTTGTGTTTGCTAGTTTTAAAATAGAAATAACTGGAATTTTTTATTCGCATATTGCGAATTGGTCTATATTGCATTCACAATTTTAGAGATTCTATTATGAGCTGAATCTACTTCGAATTGAATATGTGTAAATCGCTATCTCAGTTTGGTGTTAGAGTAATGACGTGGCATAGTGTGAGGTGTTTCAAGCAATGCAAAGATAAACGGTTTCGTGGTTCATATCACAATCGAATCCGATGGAGGACGAAAGTTCCCGACGATTCGATGACTGAAAGCAATTTCAGCATGGAAAAAACACGCTGTTCTAACGAACACAGTGTAAAAAATGGTCATTCAACTCATAATACAATCTCTAAAATTGTGAATAAAAATAACTGTAATTTATCACAGGTTTTAGATAATTTAACTTGAAAACTATTCATAGTTCACAGTATTTCAATATGGTATTCGTTTGAATACTTGAGCAAATCTAAGGAAAATATTGAGCATTTTAATATGAACTTTACCGCTGAACGAGAATGCATTATGAAATTTATTATGTATATTAATAGATGTTAACCAAAGAAATTTTTTTTAAAATTATATAGTACAATGTATTGTAGTTCGTTGGAGGGGAGGAGGAGAATTATGATTAATTATATTATTTATGTTGTGAGAGAGGTAGGAGGGATCGCCGCGCGATTTCTGCTCCAACAGTATTTTGTCTGGGATATACCCTGACTGGGTTTCCGCCACTAAAGAAGGATTCTCTATTCTTATTCACATTCTCTTTTTATTATTATTATTATTATTATTATTCTGCACCATACAGCGTTTCTTCGCCAGAGGTGGTTTATTTGATATAAATATTCTTTTATATATTTACATTATATATAATGTGTATAAATATAAATAAATATAATAATATATTACATTAATTGAATTGCTATATTTGCATAAAATTTATTACTCTCTCCATAATCTATTTCTTTTAAAATATTCATTAATTCTCTGTTTAACAGTATTTGTACTCGTGTTAAAATCAATTAAAGAAGTATCACAGACTGGAGTAGGAAGATTATGATAATTCTTATCTTCTTTATGAGTTAAAGGTGGCTTAATTGGCACAAACTTGTCATAAAAATCATTTTAAGCATTGTTTACCCATTTTTCCGCGCCACAATTGAATGCATTTATACAAAATTGCCATATAATAATGGCACGAACACATCGAGAATTTAGAATGGAATCAAAAAATATATTCAATTTTTTTTTAACAAATTCGCATTTTTTAAAGTAAAATTCGGTTGGTCGAACATTTTCCGATTTTCGTCAAACATTTTCCCATTTTGGTCAGACAATTTCCCACCACTTTGGTCAAGCATTTTCCGATTTTCGTCAAACATTTTCCGATTTTGGTCAAACATTTTCCGATTTTTGGTCAAACATTTTCTGATTTTCGTCAAACATTTTCCGATTTTCGTCAAACATTTTCCCATTTTGGTCAGACACTTTCCCATTTTGGTCAAACAAAATCAATTTTACCATTGTTTTGTTACATTTTATTTCGATTTGTTGTCGATTTTGTTGAATTTTTTTGTCAATTTTATTGCCGTTTTGTCATTTTCATTGGCGATTTGTAAATTTCAAAGGAGATTTTGTATTTAATCTAGAAAAAATTATTATTTACAATTAGGAACGAATTTCGAAAAAATATTTATTTAGCCTTACGCGGATGTTGGCATTTTATTAAATACACTCATTTCTCAACATTTTTATAACAATGGCGGCGTCCATAGTGGGAAAAATAAGAAGCAG